ATGGGCAAGGGTTCTGCTAACTGATAGCATCCTGCTAGGAACTGCTACAAGTAGGAGCTCATGCTCATATCTTGCATTCCCTGGAAGGGCTTTAGGCTAACATGGCATAAGGCAACATCGAACACGCCTCATTGGAGTTGGCATTGAAAGGACGCCGTGGAGCCACTGCAGCCTTCGTTGCCGATGAAGCCTGGACAGCAGTGGACGGTCGGGAAAGAGATGGAGCCTCCGCGCACGGCCGACACGACAAGCCTCACAGGCTCGGAGACTGTGTTCTAATTTCCTTCTTCGGGCAGCACTTCCTGATGCTGCAAGCCTGAACTACTCGCCCCACATCTGTCATATGTTGCATCTTGTGCAGGGGACGTCTGGGTACTATTGCTGCAGCTGCACCGAGAGATCCTTTACAGGTTTGATAGTCAAGACGAGATTCTCAGCCGGGTGCTGACTCGGCCGTCTGTGACAGAATCGGAGGATCGGTTCGTCGACAGTAAGACACTTGGATCTCACATCAAGCCTTACCCTAGCTGATGACGACTGCCGAGTTGTGAGAGTTCCGTTTCTCTTTTTCGCACAGCGGCGGATTCGCCGAGGAGCCAGGCAAGCGAGAAGCAGACCGAGGACACCTCAACGGATTCGAGTCCGCTCGAGCCCAAACCTCCAAGCAGGAGCCGGGCGGCTTCGGATGGGGACTTCGGGCTGTGCTTGGCGAGCTTCTGTGCCACGTTTGTGCAGGAAGGGCCGGCCGTCCTTCACGCCGAAGGTCTTCAGGACTTTCGATCAATTCGAGCACTCTCTGCGAGCCGAAGCCGCGAGGGCGGACTCCTTCCGAAGGAGACAGTGCTTTGCCTCTGCCGTAGTGACGACCCACTCGCAGGGGCCTCCCCGCCCATCAGGAGACGAAAGTTTGCCAGTGTGAAAGGGCCCGGCTCCGTGCAGCAGAGGGTTGAATGCATCTCGGCCACCCTGTGTTTTTCAGAGTCTAAAAACAGTCCATGCCGGCTACAGCCCTAGAGGTGCTAACGGGCAGCAGAAGCAGTAAGCTTGTAGTCGCATCCGAGGCTGCGAATGGATCAGAGCAGCGGTCCGACATCCAGCGTTTGACTTGTTCTTTGCCCTCGTCGTCGTATCGAACTCTATCTTCATCGGTGTTGAAGTGGAACAAGGTCTGAATTCGCTAGGGCCCCGAAGTATGACTATCTATGTTTTCCAATACGCATATTCGGGCCTTTTCACTGTGGAGCTGGTCTTGCGTTTGGCCGCTGATGGATGCCAGTTCCTCTGTGGCCCAGACTGGCTGTGGAGCTGGCTGGATGTCTTCATCGTGCTGAGTTCACTCTGGGAGATTATCATTGAGGTCATGTATGTCTGGTATGGTGATGACAGTGCCCAGGAAGCTGCTGAGCATGTTTCAGGCATAATCAACCTCAAGGCCTTCCGAGTTATTCGAATTACGCGCATCGTCAAGGCAGTCAAACTGATGCGGATCTTCCGCTTTGTTATTGCACTCCGTACGTTGATCACGTCAATCATCCACACCCTGCAGTCACTATTCTGGGCTCTTGCGCTTTTGGTTCTGATTGTATACGTTTTCGCGGTACTGTTCGTCGGCGCCGTGAACGACTTCAAACTGGATCCAGACAGTCTGAAACTTCCAACGAGAGAGATGGAAGCAAGTGATTTGTATTTCTCATCCCTTCCGGACACGATGCTCAGCTTGTTCATGTGCATTGCTGGTGGAGTGAACTGGGGTGAGGTCCAGTCCCCTTTGAAGGCCATTTCCACTCTGTGGGTCGTCTTCTTCCTTTTCTACATCGCGTTTACGCATCTGATGTTGCACAGCCTCACTTCTTTAGGGCAAAAGGCCGCAGGTGTTTCATTTTAAATCCTCAAGCATCCTTTGACCTCCCGCCAGAGTAAGGTATTTTGCCGTCCTCAACGTGGTCACAGGAGCTATGCTGTAACTGGGGCCAGGTCCAGGGAGGGAACTGAAATGGGAGGATGTCGTCGATCGCAATGAACCAATGAATCCGCATAATCATACTAGAAGGGAGTTGCCTCTACGCCGGAGTCCATACACTTTCTCGTGGCCGATCCCTTGCAGGAGTCTTCTGTCAGTCGGCCATCGACAGTGCGCAGAACGACCACGCAACGGTAGTGCAGTCCATTTTGGCCAACAAGAAGGCCCACGTGGAGAGGATACAGGCGCTGTTCAGCCAGTTTGATGACCGGGAGACTGGTGTCATTACCTTTGCGATGCTGGAAGAGAAGATTGATTCACCAGATGTGCGGGAATACTTCGAGATCCTTGGCTTTGCTAGACTCCTAGCCTGGTGCTTTGAGAGTTTGGCAGCTGTTCTGGTTTCCCAGGACCCTTGGCTTGGATGTCTGGGATGCCTGATCCTTGGAGCCGGTTGCTTCAAGAGAGTATCTTGGTGCATGCTGATCGGTACCGCCTTAATTAATTCAGGTTTGTGCGGGATACTGAGGCCTGGACTTTCTTCAAGCCACTTAGGTGGCATTTGTGTTCTTCTTGCGGTTTCAGCCACACCTCGCTTAGGCGAGCAAGTTGTGTATCATGTTCTGCGTCACGAGATCCTCTGCGTCGAGGTTGCTGGACCTGGATTCAGGTGGCGCTGTAGAGACAGAAGAATTCTTGCAGCTTGGCTTTGTGATTGCCAATCATCTGGACACCGATCGTAACGGCTTGCAATTCAGTTCGATTGGTCGGGGCTATGCGCAACCCTGTGCATCCATCAGACAAGCCCAGCCACTTGTCCGTTGTATTGCCCTGGCAGATCGTTTCAGACCAGACAGAGACTTGGGCTGTCCAGACACCGTATTGGCCTTGGCAATCTGCATGCCGCACGGTACGTCCAACATAGCACTGTAGTTCGATCTCGACGCGCTAGTCGGACCAAAACTCTTACATGTTCCAGCGGAAGTCACCGATGCCTCGACCTGTGAGTCTGTGGGTGCCTCCAAGTCAATAAACAACATCGGATAGGATGGGATGCCTCCGGCTTCGCGGCCAAGCCCGTGCCATTGATGTCGCTGGGCTATATACGCGCAGTAGCGGATGACAGCGGTTTCGGGACACATCTGACACGCATTTCCACACGGTACAGACGACATCTTCAAGCCCGAAGGTCGAGAAGCTAATCTACGACCAGACCTGGCTCATCAAGAGCGACTTGACGGCTCCAATGGTGACAGGGGGACTCTCTGGGCGGTTTCTACAAAAGGGGGTTGATTCTGTCAGTAGAATCCGTTAAAGCAAAACGCTGATGTTTCAACCTTTATAGGCTCCATTTTCCCTCAAGCATGGTCCAAACATGTCCAAACGGAAGATGGACGTAAGCTACCCCTCTCTGCAACGGCGAGAACGGAGAACGCTGATCCTCATGCATCGGCTAACTCTTTTCGAAGCTCAGCCTGCTGCTGTGGGAACACAGTGTTTGAATTCAAGGTTCGCAGAAGGGACATGACGATACCCGGAGTGGCTAGAGTTGGGGGTAAGTTCTTTTCAGACTGTCCTTGCCTTCAACTTGTACTTGTAATTCTACAAAAAACAATCAGGCGCCATCGAGTGTGGAGGGCTACAGGAGTGCACTTTGGCCTCAGTCGCTTTCCAAGGCCAGAGTCACTTCCAGACTTACATGGAGGTGGAGCTAAAGCAATTGAAGGAGACATGTGCATTGCTTGTCTCGAGTCATCTCCTCTCCGAGTTTCGGCTCCATGCCGTTCCTATGTTGCAGGCATTCTGATGCAGGTTGCTGTTGGCTTCATGGCTTTGAAAAGGAGCATCTGGTGCTGCTGACCGGCATCAACTTCCAGCGCTCAAGCCGCTAAGCCAGATTTTGAGCGTCTGCGTCGGCAGTATGATCTATAGAGTTGAACTGTTCCAGGCGAGCTTGTGGTCAAATCTCCCTTGACGGGTTGGACATGTCAGCTGGAGTAGAGGTGCTTTTCAAAGGTGCTTGCTGAAACTTCCGGGCTACATCATGATGGACCAGAGCAAGCAAGTGGAGGTGGACAATGTGGACACTAACAGCGAGTAGAAGTTTAGAAGTTTCTGGCGCCAAGCATGCAAGCTTTGAGATGCAGCTACGCGGCGGGCCGCAGCCTCTTAATTCAAGCCTCTAAGATTGAGCGTTGAATTCAAGGCCTCTCGCCAAAGGAGCTATGGGATGAAGTTAAGTTCATTTACTGAGATAGAGCACACTTCCTGTCTTTTGCAAGGCTGACCCCATTGCTCTTCAATAATTTTTGAGAAAGGCATCGTGTGCATTTTGAGGTGTTGCTGCCGTAGTGGGAATCCATGAGGCGCGAAGCCTCCGTTGCCGAATTCAACACGACCTTCAGGTCACCAAGTTTTGCCACTAGCTTTGCCGCGGCTGTTTCCTTTGGCGTTTGCAAGGTAGTGCATGGATCTGTGCAGGATCAGGGGGTTTCTAGCAACTTTCTTTGCGGATCTTGTTTGAGGTGTCCTGCTAATGAGGATCATACCGTTTCGGAGTCTACATTGGTGCATTTGTTTTTGTCTGAAACCCCTTCTGGCAACATGCAGTGCGTTGGTCTCGATTGCTTGACCGCTCAACGGCGGTGTGCCCTGGCACTTTCAGAGCAAAAGTGTGCGTTTGCCTTTTGCTTCTTGTGATACTCCTTTGTCAGTAGAGGCTACGCTACATTGATGGCTTGTTGTGGCGCTTGCCTCAGGACACAGCAGAGAGGCAAAGCCAGCACCGCCAGGAGCCGAGTTTCATACATGCTGTGATGGGCATCGGGTGGAAGGAAAAGTCCACAGGTCTCGGCTGCTGTAACCCTAACTGACTTGGCATGTTGGCATGTTTAAGTTGAAAAGCGCCTATTATGCTTAACATAAGTTTTTCAATTCCGGGTCCAAACCCGGTGCAACCCTCGGTGTCAAATTTGTGGTTTTTTGGGGCCAAACCCGTGTTTTAGGATTTTGGGGGGTTTCGCCCCCTCCACCTCCCCCATAGATGGGTGTCCCGGGGCCCTCCCTGGCTTGAAGGGAAGGGGGGGGGAGGGCCGGCAGGGGCTGGTGGTGCCTGTCGGTGCCAGTGCTGGGAGCCAGATTGGGTTGTGTTAAGCATAACAGGCACCCCACCCACGGCGACCGACTGCTAGCTGCCGATAGCCGTCGGTAGGCGTCGGTAGCGGTCGGGAGCTGGCACCGCTGCTCCGCCGGCTACCGACAGCTACCGACAGCTACGGGCTTCCGCCCCACCCCCCCCCCGCTTCCGCCCCAGCAACCCCCCCCACCGCCCAGCCTACTGGACCGCCCGGCCCACCCCCCCGAGGGAGACGGGGCTGTGCATCAACGGATCCCGACAGCTACGGCTAGCGACGGCCTCCGCAGAGTCGGCAACCGCCAGCAACATGCGACGACATCCCGGACAATCCCGCCAGCACTCCGGCCACCACGCCCAGGGCCCTCGCCCCCCGCCCAATCCGCAAACTAGGACAGTGTTAAGCATAATGGGGCCACCCAAACAAAGGTATTCGCAGCACTTTTTGCCTGCGCCAAGCGCGCGCACCCAACCAGTCCCCAAAATATGACAGTGCTAAGCATAACATGGCCACCCAAACCAACGTATCCGACGGAGCTTGCACCGAAAACGCTTGATTTTCGCACCAACTTTCAGCCAAGAGGTTTGCACCGAGAAATCGGCCAGTGTTAAGCATAATAGGAATTTTTCAATGTTTAAGCCATACCTTATACGGTGTCACTGTTCAGTTGTACGGCGAGTTTAAGAAGATAGTGTCATACTAGTACCAACTTGTCCCTGAAGCTTGAAGCCGCGAAGTGGCCAACCCTCGTGATGTTGAGGCCAAGAACTCGCGGCCGCGCGACGAAGTCTGGAGCGAGCGAAGGCCGATGCCAGAAGCCTGGAATCTGATCTTCTGTGGCATGTCGGGTGTGGGTACGCCCGGGTTTAAAGGTTTTAGGAAGGACGAGCTTCTGATAGTTTTGGCGTCAGATTGCAGTATCTGTTCTCCTTTGCATGCATGGCAACTATTGACATGGTAGCCAACATGTGAACCAATGTCCTCAGTCACCCTTGCGTCTTCCTGCTAGCAGTAGTGAGTAGTCGCTCGCGCCATCCGCCGACCATTCAGCACCCAATTCAGGTCGCATCTGCCGAGCATTTGGCGGAGGAAGAGGGGGAGCGAGAAAGGCCAGGCAGCAACAATGGTCTCGTGTTCGAACCGTCCTCTTGTAGACTGTGGCCTGCATCGTGTTCAAGCCGTACTGTGCTGCAGATGTTGCAACTCATAAACATGACTTGCATTCAAGTCGCATTCCAGCTGTTGCACATCTCGTCTAATCTAGTCATCTGGTCGGAAAGTAGCAAGTCCTATATCACGGTTGCACTGAATGGTGATCCGTGCGAGAGTGGAACTCCACGGCTGCTGCTGCTGCTGCTGCTGCTGCTGCTGCTACTGCCACCAC